TTTCCCATCCGTTGAATATAATTAGTGCCTGTTTTTCATTCAAAGTGCACATTTACACGAATCTCGTTAAATTCGGTGCAACAACAAATGGAAATGGACTTGTTGATTCTTTTTTTTTCATTGTTTCGGTTAGTACTTGTCAATGTAAATATCCTGTATGGATCATGTGTTTGGGACAGTAACGGCCGAAAAAAAGACATTTGAAAATTTGAAAAAAACGTGTTGGCTGCATTATGGTTTTTCCGTTTAATCAAATCGATTTTTGCTTTGTTCCGACATATATTTCATGGTTCCTTGTTTGTTTGATTTCAAATGAACAGAAGGTCCGTTACAATTGGTAATTTAATCTATTTTTACTTGTCGTCTCGCGTTTGGTATCGATTTCGGTCACCTGGTTGTCCGAAACATCTTGCACACACATTTTCATACGGATCCCGTATGAATATAAAAACGAGTCACTCTGTGATTTTTTCATCATCCAAATCAAATGCTGAACATTTAACAGTTACCTCAAATACGACAGGCATACACATCAAAATTCGGTTCATTTTGAAACATATAAAATTACAATGTTGAATCGATGTGAGGATCGACAAATGTGCATTGCTGTTTTAACAAGTATTAAAAGTGGCACAAATGTCCAAATCTGTGTTTGTTTTATGTATAAAACCCTCCGTTAGATTCCGTCAGATGAGAATCATCTGCCCTACATGTTTTGATGCTTGATTCAACACCTTTTCCTAAAGGGATACACGATGCAAAAGATGAAGAAAAACACCGAAACCATTACCGTTTTTTGATGGTTTTCTGCTACACTGAATGAAACTGCTCAGCAACCGAAACCCGCTTTTACTTTTCGATGTATGTACGTGTCTATTTCACAACTGTTTCAAGTTCAAGCAAGAATGATGCTCGCTCTCTTTCTGTATAGTATTAAGAAATATTTTAACGGTTATTTTTGGATATGCGCGCGCGCATACACATCAACGGAAGAAAATCGGAAAAACATGATCCAGTGTAAATACGGATATATGTATAGCGTACGCATTTAGAAACCGAGCTGAGACGAGAGTCGACATGAAACGTGAAAAAATGCAAGCATGTGCATGCGCCATCGAATTCAATTCAAACACATAATACCGTATTCCATAACACTCGATGTTGTACATATTGAAAAGTCTGACCCTCAGCAACAACATCGTTTTGATTTAACCCCTCGAGCAGATGCATCGCATGCAAAGCTGTGCTAGTACCGCTGCTGCTTAGCAGCAGAAAAAAAATCAAATCAACACAAATGAATCTAAGCAAATAACAACCGATTTTCTAGCATTGAATTTCAAAAAAGTCACTGTGCTAGACAGCAAAAATTCAGGTAAAGTTATGCAATGGAATTACTTGCAAGTTTCAAGTCGATGCAATGGATAAATCAAACAAAATTGTCATGAATGCTGCGGCCAAAGTAAAAAAGAATGTCTCTTTTTTATCTAATAAATGACAGACAAATTGGAGAAGAGTTTAGATTTATTACATGTATTGATTGGCCGGTGTTCTTCCGATTTGCTATTTTATGTGAGCACACACAAAAAAACGAGATCCGTTATTGTCCATCTTTTTGTTTGCATTGGTCGAAAAAGTTGTATGTCGTCTGGGCTATTTCTTTTCTCATTTCGTTTCGATCAACTTAATAACTTCCGAAAAGTTGAATAGGAAATAAATGCATTTGAGATCAATGCACAGACACAAAAGAAACACAGCCGTTTGTGTATACACATACACACGTCCATACATCGAAAGATCGACTTGATTTTTATAATTCGATCGATGTCATCTTTCCTTCATTCCACAACTTTGGATTTTTTTTCTGTCTGCATCTTATACAATAATTTCGGTATGTTCACTTTATTCCTTTGAATTTCAGCTTCATTTGTTTTGCAGTGATTTTTCTTCGTTCGAAAAGAATAGAAGAGAGGCATTGAAATGAGATGATATCAAGTATATGCCATGGAGAGAGAGACTATATTCAATTGAAAATTAAAAAAAATAATAATGAGAGAGGGAGAACGCATTGGAAAGCAGAGAAAAAGCAGGTCATAATTGCACCGGGCTTTTCTTCGTTCATTTCAAATAGAGTGAGTACCGTCGCTCTATCGAAAATTTTTGAAAATGATGCCATTTATAAAGAACCAAAAATGCAAGCGTGCTGCATTTATATTGTTCGCATTTTTCTTTGCCACTTTCCACACACATACACAATGCACTGAATGTCGAACGAAAAATTAATACAATAATAGCATTTATGTGTGCATTAATGTTACGTATATATAAATTATTACGGGTCTATAAAAACAAACTAACGCGCTTCGGTATTTTCCTCTCGTCGGTTCGGTGTATGCGGTCGCTTGTCTCGATGTATGTGTGCATCGATGTGTAATTCTTTTTCAAAATGCAGAATACACCTATGTTTATGTACATAGATTCGATGAGTTCTCCCTTGCTCAAGCCAGTAATTGTTGATATTTTTTATATATATATTTCATCGTTCGTTCATTTGATGAATAGAATAAATGTGATGTGTGTGCGCTACGTGCAGAAATACCAAATTTCGAACAGATGTGTGGCAAAATATCGTACCGTAAAACTTCAAATTGGTTTATTTGTCGGATCTCAATATTAAAATTAACTAATGGCATTTCATTTCGTATAAAATAGACTGGCAATCTGTGCCCGCAACCAATACTCATTTTATGCGTTTGTAACGACTGAATCCCTAGTGTTGTTTTCACGAGCACACAGTCTAGTTTTCTTCACTTACATTGGTGTGTTTTTTGGTTCGGCGCAATAAACGGAAGAAAAAATGCCATTACAATAAAAATCAAGATCAAATTTAGCGTCGACAAAAAATCACCACCTTGGTTTCAGTTTTCCATTTCATTTGGCGGCCAAATTTTTTTTGTTATGAAGAAAAAGAAGAAATCAAACACATGAACACATAAATTATGGGTAAAAGAAACCAATGCACGCGCGTCTTTTAATTTTTTTAACGGAAATAGTAGTTTTAGCTTCCGATGGTGAAAAAAATCTGAACAACTGGATTTACATGAAAATTCAAGTCCCTCGACAACGATTTTAGCAAGTTTTTCTACTTTCTTCACGGTTTTATGGTAGAAATGATATGGTGAACCCTGCGAAATCGACTTTGATTTCATGAAATTTAAATACAGTTGTTCAAATGACTATAGTTCTGGGAAAGACTGTTTTTCTACCGATACATTGAGTTTTTGGCTTGAGTTTGAATGAATGCAATGGAATATTTTACCGAAACCAAAAACACGTTACAAATTGTACACAAGTGGATACTTTGAAACAACAAAAAATGAACTTTGAAAACGATAATTTACGATAGGATTCATCACCGTAATTGTACATGTTCGCTTTCAGTTATACATGGGCCAACATTCAACAAATCATGGTCCGAAATTTCTGCACGTTCAATGTCCATAAACTGTGGTGTGATTTTTATGTTTTGTTTGGACAATTCTCACGTCAAAATGATTCTTATCGATTTTGTTGTCGAATAATAAATTAAAATCAAAACAAAAAAGAATGCAGCATACAAGAGAAATGCACAAATTCCGCACCAATAAAAACAACATCGAGTGCAAAATAATCGAGAATGTCTTAAGAATATAAAGTAAAAAAATAACACAAAAACAAATGTATTTTATTCACTTTCGGCGAAACCGTTTTTGTGCGCAAGTTAAGAAATGTTATTCTTTATAACTTATTTTTCTCGTTGCAGAAAAATTGTTATTCGATCGAAATGTTTGTTGGTATTTCGATCAGTGACAACATCATACAAAACGGTTTTCGTAAAATGATTCTTGCGTGATGCAGCATATTGAATATGAAAACGAAATAAGATATGAATCGAATCGGTATGTCAAAAAAACACACGTGTAATAAAGCCATTGATACTGGACAAGATTGACCTACAAATGCGCATTGAATAATATCGATACCAAAAAAAAAACTTTGGACATTTTGAAATTGAAATTCATTTAAATTGAGAGTGATTCATTGTTGCCCCAAATAAAACTTATTATACAATGAACTTTAATCCAGAGATTGCCCGTGCTCCAAATCCAAAAATAATATATATTTTATCACTTCGATAAGCGTGTGCATTCAAAACGAAATGGTCGAAATGCATTAAAAACGCATAGAGATAGAGAAAAAGGTGACCGAAATTCTAATGCTTTATACCTGCGCCTTTTTTTTGCGCCCAAGCCATACATGTATTCGAAGCAGCAGCGAATGCCCGTAGAAAAGAAGAACGAAGTAGAAAAGTCCATAGGTAGCATGATAGATGCACTCTCACACATACTGCAGTGCACATAACGATCGAATTCATCAGCACATACAGTACCTGATATATTCAACTCATGTGAGCATTAAGAGCAGCGTGTATATGAATGCATGTATGCGTATATTGATTGAAAGAATGAATAATGACAAAAAGCAACAACAAAATGAATCGAAATGCAGTACAGCACCAAGAACAAGACAATAACGGCAGCGAGAACGACATCGGTAACTTACCATCAACAGCAGCAGCTGTTGCTTAGGCTCGATACTCTACGCACTCATGCACACACCAAACATTGCTGTGGCAAAGGATGAACAAGGAAGGCAACATTACATGAGGGGAAACAAAAACACTAGTTTTTTGTTGTTATTCTACTCTATGCATGCATATTGTTCGTATATATTTGAAGCGGCACGTGTTCAATTGCACACAGAGAAGTTCTTTTCTACGACCGAGATCACTGCGTTGAAATACATATAGACATATACGAGTTTTTTTGTTATTGAGTTCTCTTATTCTCTCATTTTCGTGTTCATACATTGAGCCCGGTGTGTGCATGTCGCTTGGTTTCGATGGTAGGGGACGTGTATATAAGATCAGCAGGTTTTGGTGTACGATCATTCAAGGCCCGTTTGCCGTTGAGTTAACACGTCTCTCTCTTACGCAAAAATAAAATATAGATTTTATTTTCTTCGATTCGAAAATCAGAAGTAAAAGTGAATTTTAAGTGAATTTCTTGAATTTTTTTTTTCAAAAAAAAAAATCAATTATTTCGTTCAGTGCTTTTTTTATAAAAAAAAAAGAAAACAAAAATGGCAGAATTTGCGAAAAGTGAAGTGAAAAATTACAACAGTTGCCCGTTGAAAAAGCGGCCAATTATGTTTTTGGATCCTGTTGTGGATAGCCAACCAGAACAAGACGAACCAGTTAATTTGTGCGTCCGTAAAGTGAACAAAGAGGAGCCAACATCGTATGTGAACAAAGTTCGCTCGATGCCATTAAAGGATATTACTACGCATAATCAACAAGATCGCATCCGTTATGCTCCATACAAAATCGAAGAAGCTCGCGTTCCATATGTTAAACAAGAATTGTACAATCTATTACCTGGATATGCAGCTAATACAACAAACACATTAAATTATACACAAATATCACCACCACCATCGGCCTCATCGATCAAATCAGAACCAGAATATTGGCAATCATTTTCACGTGAACCATCAATGTCTCCACCATCGAATCGTGTATTTGTTCCATCACCGCCACCAATGAAAATTGCTACCGTTCATCAATATGCTGCCGTCAACAAAACTCATCGATATGCACCATACGTCAGCCGACAACATCACATCGTCGAGGAATACCACAGCAGCATGTCGCCAACACACAGCCACAGTTCATTGGGCGGTTCATCAACGCGCAGCTCAATGTCACCAGCATCATCAATTGAAGATCCATACACCATGATGCAAGCAAATGCTGTAAGTACAAACAAACCAACCGAATTGCCACGCTACCAATGTTCCGACTGCAACAAATCATATTCGACGTACTCGGGATTGACAAAACACAAGCAATTCCATTGCACAGCATCACCAAACAACCAAGCCAAGAAATCATTCGACTGCCAATTCTGTCCGAAAACTTACACATCGTTGGGAGCATTGAAGATGCACATCCGAACACACACCAAACCATGTAAGTGCCATTTGTGCGGCAAAGCATTTTCACGACCATGGCTATTACAAGGCCACATTCGCACACATACTGGTGATAAACCATTCAGTTGCCAGTTTTGCCATCGAGCCTTCGCCGACAAATCAAATTTGCGCGCACATCTACAAACTCATTCAGATGTGAAAAAATACAGTTGTTCAACATGCAGCAAAACATTCTCAAGAATGTCACTGCTCACCAAACACATGGAAAGTGGCTGCCCCGGTTTGCACGAACAACACCATTAATAATTAAGATTTTTTCCATTAAGGTTTAATTATAAGTTACATTTTCTTCATCATTTTTGTAATTTAATATATGCTCCTTTGCCATTTTGTATTTTATAAGGAAATTCATTCGATTAGAGTTAAGTTGCGCTAGAAATTGCATCATTGTTAGAGAATACCAAAAATAGTTAAGGCGAGAATGCGAACATACAATTTAAAAAAGTAAAATAATGTTGTTCCTAGTCATATTTATGTTGCTTAATTGGACTTTTTAAGGCTTTTAGATGTTTAGGTATTTATGGTTAATTTATTTATTGTGCCTTGCATATTTTTCATACCATGTACTTTCATCGAACGAAAAAATGACAAGTTCTTTTTTTTAAAAAAATAAAACAAAAATGAAAATAATTTTTTATAAAAAAAAATCCATCTGTTTTTTTCTTCTGCTTTTTCATACTTTTTCAGTCGTCTTTTTTCTGCAGGAACTTTCTTTCAGCATTAAAAATATAAATTATCAACTCAACACCAACGAACAAATTGTTATGGATAAGCGATACGAAGAGAAGAAAAAAAAACAGGCCAAATGAAATCATCAACAAAAGTAAATGGTAAGAAAGGTAAGCAGAGAAAAAAAACGACCAAAACTTGATACTGACCGTCATAGAGATGACGCTGTGCAAAATGATATTTGGACAACGATGGAAATTAAATAAAAGCGACTCTGAAACGCATCAAAAATACAATGTGCTGATTTTTTTTCCATCACATTTTATTTCTCTTTCATTTTTTTTTTTGAAATCGAAACAAAAAAAATGAAGCGAAAAACATGAACACAAAAAACGCACACAGCAAACTGCACAGACAGCTAAGCAGTTCTTCTCATCGAGTTTAACATTAATCTTCTCAAATAATTGCTATCATTAATTTTTACAACTTGATCAACCGCTACTGGTATTTTTTCTCTTTTGGTATGTGTGTGAGTGTGTGTGTCTTCGGTGGCTTTGGCAATAAGCACTTCTTCTCTTTGGCTAATGCAAACAATTCCATCGGCTTGCTTTCGATTCGAAAGCAACATGCACACATATAATTTTCGTGGTGACGCAGGCGTATATTTGTTTATCTTTTCTTCAAAATATAATGATCTTTTCAATATCGTGAAAAATGATGCAAAAACTTTGAAATAACCACGAAGAAATCCAATACTGTTAAATGTCCATTTATTTAAATTTTTAAAATCTGAGCAAATTGACTACGAAAATAATCCAATAGGTGCTCACTCTGGAGTATGTCCAAACTGAGCAAATTCTTATTGGAAAAGAATGTCTACGAAAGTAATCTCATTTTTCTCAGCAAATAAAAGGGACAATATTTTCTGATTGCGTTGTAATGTTGATCATCCGCATCAGCAGCGGAAAACAAGAAATAAATGTCGTAATTTATGATCGTATATCACTTTTTTTTAAAGAAACGAGAGATAAAACTAAACAGATCCGCTTTGGATGGCCCACTTTTCTTGCTTGCGAATCGCTCCAATTGAAATTAATAATTTAATTATAAATTTCAGCGATCGTAATGATTAATGTATCGAACGAAATGTACGCAAGACCGGTAATCACTGGATTCAATTTCATCTCTGCAATTTTCTTTTGAACTAAAATGAAAAAAAAAAAAAAACATAAACTATACCACTGGGCGCACAATAAAAGTGTACGAAGAAGTTCGACATCGAAATTGATGTTATTTCTCTGTTCCGTTTCCTTTGCGCATTTTGGTTATTTTTTAATGTGTGCAAATACAAAGCGTATGAGCCCGAAGTGAATTTAAAAAAAAGAAAAATCGTAATAATACGTTGATGGGGGAAAAAATGTAATAAATTGAATTTTTCATATAAATAAGTCATATGTCAAGGTGGTTTTTTACATCGACTTTTTATTAAACGTTCACAACAAATCGTGGACAATCGTCAACGCCGAAAAGTTATCATTTTGATTTTTCGAACGTCAGCTTAGCAGAAGAGACAAGAGATTTAGTGAACAAAAGTCAGCTTCATCGCATAAGAAATTGAATAAGAACCATATGTATTCATTCTCATTTTCAGCATCCGATTTGTGAATGTAATTTTTGCATATTTGAAATGTGATAGAATCTATTTTTAACTGGTGCCATTTTATTCCTGGAATTTCCAATTCATTCGACTCAAAATAAAAAAATGCTGCGATCACGCTTTTGACCAACGTGAAAAACCACAAAATAAAAACGAATCATTTCAACGCAAAATTCATGCATGGCATACACCGATAAAGCGAGGCGAATTGAAAAATTCCCAAAAAAAAATATCTGCTAATCCTTAAAGTGAATTTCAAAGGAATCAAACAGAGAATGAACCCAAATAAGAAGGAAAGAGAGAAGCGTTGAAGAACATCACACAGCGTTAAACAATTTACATAATAAAAAATGAAAGAGCAAAGCCACCACAAAAGCGCACTTGTTGAATCGTTTCGTTCATTGCATTTGTTCCAGGAATTGAACAAAGATTTGCCCGGCCGCACAGTGGTTCATCGCGCGCCGCGAACTCTGTGATTGCTGTTGATGCTGCTGCTGTTGCTGCTTAACTCTACTCGGCTTACTTGTTAGGTTCATCTCATCTTGTAAAGTGCATTCGAGTATGTAGCCGCGCAACGTTTTTATTTCTTCAATTTTCAACAGCCTTTCAATGCGGCGTGATGATTATTTTTCCAGATTGTGTATATTGATATTCAATGGACGTTATAAAATGCACATACATATAGGCGATGCTCAATGGTTTAAAATGGATTTTAAAATGCAAACGATCGCTTTAAGTGCAAAATTCGTTGCACCCGACGACCGAAATGAAATCTTTTCCACTTGAAATGCTCGTATCAAATACAAAAATATTTCCTGTTGCGTTTTGCATTTCGTACACAAATGCGAAATATGCGTAACTAAATGTTCAATTGTTGCTGATGTGCTGTGTCTTCTTTTGTTTTACATTGCGTTATCGTGGTCGTAGCCGTCGTCATCGTCGACGTAGTCATCGCGAGAATAGCACGATGCCAAGTGTATTATTAGGTGATATTTTATTTAAATTCCTTTATTTCTGTTGTCTTCTCTCTTTCTCTTCTCGTTGTGGATGTGTGTTTTTTTTTAATTCTCTTCCTCATAAATTGATGGCTCGATTGCGATTGCTCTCGCATTTGGCTCGATTCATGAAACACAGAAAGAGAGATGAACATGATTTCTGTTTCTTCCTTATTTTTTTGCGGTTTTCTTGTTCATCTCATTTCACGAATTCTCTGATTTTGTTCGCCACTCGTGTTGTTGTGATTTTTTTTTATCTTCTTCTCTTTTGCCACTCGTAATCAGACTGTGTCGATGCAAATAAACGCTTTAACTGCGAAAGTCTCTTCTTCACCGCTAATTTCAATATTTTACACAGTCACATATTTTATTTCGTAAAACTGTATTTGCTCTTTTATCCGACTGTGTTTTATATATTTTTGCACGGATAAGAAATGCTGATTTGCTGTTGCATCCACAGTCATGCGCAAATCATTACAAAAGTGTAACGCACAAATCCGATAAAAAAAGAATCCATACGATACCATTTCGAACAATGTAATCGATCGAATAAAATAAATTTTTCGCCATCGGTTATTTTCTTCGGTCTTTTTGCGTTATTCTACCATTTTGCTCATGATCAAACATCGAACGAGTGAGAGAGAGAGGGAGAGAGCGAGCGAGAAATATACTGATGCAGTCAACAGTTTATTTGTCAGAAATGTCAACAAATCGTACGGGCTTTGTTGTCGCTACAAGAAAATACTAAATGCATTTGCAATGTTGCATTTTAATTCCATGCGTATTTTATCTGTCGTGCGCGTGCACCGCTGTTGTTGTTGGTTGCCTTTTGTTTTATGCGAAATTGACTTGATATTCGCGGGCATGGCACTGAACACAACGGTAAACATTTTTGTATTTTGCTTGTCCACAAACTGGCATTTTATTATGTAACATGAGTATATCGAACTGATCTGTTACGCATTTAGCGGTAGAGATTTTATTCAGGAATAAATTTTCTTTTTTTTTTCAAATTTGTATGGATATTTCAATGAATATAGTACGATTTTAGTTAATAAAGTACAGATTCTCTCTATCTTTATACGTGTGTGCGTGTGTGCGGACAAGTAAAACGTTCACAAAAACTAGATGAGTCACAGTAAAAGGTTGCGTGAAAGTAGGTAAATGAAACGGATGTAAGGCATAAAATTCAAGGCAACTTGAATTTCTCTTTCTGGTCAACAAAGGATTTTTTTTTTTAAATTCAAGTCGCGAACAAAAACACTGAGATTATAATAAAGGAGAGAAATTTTGTTGCAGTGAATTTTCTTATGTGTTTTTTTGGTGCCTCGGTCATCAAGAGAGAAAAAATCCTCTCGAAATTGTGGTCATTCACTTGAAATGACCTTATTTAAATGTGAACACTATTGAAAGACAGCATACATTGCAATGCATCAAATAACCAAATTTTCGATGGGCATACTTTTTCCATGTTGCGCGCATAAACGAAACCAAATCCACCAAATAAAAAGACATTTCGTCGTTCGTAATTGCTTTGGTGTATTATGTTGTTATTTTTTTTATTGTAAACTCTCAACCTAAAACATGAGTATGAACCTTTGATCGTATTTCTTTCCTGTTGGTCCCACTTGATGAAAAAAATATGAGACGAAAAGAGAAGTGCATATAACTTCAGTAAATGCTGTGTTTTGTATAAAGTTTCGTTTATTTTTATTGTTTTCGACGGATTAAAGAGCATTTTCATTTTTTGTTGGGAAACGAAGGAAGAAAGCACACACGAGTTCGTAAGGAGATTGAGCATCAACGTTGGCGACGCATCACGTACACCATGAACACGTAGCCGCAAATAAAAAAAAATTAAGCATCGCTTAAGATGATGTTATATGTTTAACGCAAATGTGTATTAAAAAATATTAGCGCGGCGAAAAAAGAAGGTGCTAAAAACCTCACACACACAAAAAGCGCCGGTTTTTTGCTTAAATGCGAGATGTGGTTGAACATAATCCGTCTTGCGAGTGCACAGTGGAAGGGAAAAAAGTGAAACAATTGCCAGAAACACGCGTGGAACAAAAATGAATGGTTTTTTTTCCAGCGTTCTGCGGCTAATTTGATTTTTACGGTGAAATTCAAATTTTTTTAATGCTTGAAGTGCATCGTACTGATTTTTGGAAGAAATTACACTTTTCTTCAATATTGCTCATAAATCAATCATAAAAGCTACAAAAAT